TCTCTCTCTCTCTCTCTCTCTCTCTATTTATATATTTTAACTAATGTCTGTACATATGAGATTCATACAACATACAGACTTTAAGAGACGGCTTTCTGAGCTCAGGGGAAGAGAAATACCAGAATCCTTTGCATGGTCATATAAGAGGTTTGCTTGTTAATTAATAGCTTAACGATCATTTCCTTGTAATTTAACAAAACACAACAGACATTATCTAAATATTAATCCAATCTACCAGTCTATAAACATACAGCTACCTCACATCTAGAATCAACTTAAAAGAAATATTATCCACATCTATTTAATGCATATTAAAATTACCATGTACTAAGATTTTTGCAGGAAGTACAAAACCGGGTATATTTGGCAGGATGTCACCGACGAGGATGACCTGATCCCCACCACTAACCATGAATATGTACTAAAGGGATCAATCAAAATCACACAAAAAATAAAAGAAGAGAAAGAAGCAAAGCCTGTTACAGAAATGAACAAGGAGTCGTCGATACAAACATTAGCCTCAACTTCATCTTCAAGGTCCCAGAAGGCTGATGGAAGAACCGAAGTTTTCAAGGTTGATGCATGGAGGGAGGATATCAAAAGATTAAAGAAGCAGAAGAATGAAGAAATTATCATGGAGAATGAGATGAAGTTTCGTGGAGTTGGAAGAAAGAAGGGAGATGGTAATGGTGGTTGCAAGTGGGGATCAATTATGAGTAATCTGCTGAATTGCAGAACTGTTGAGATGAGGGACTCTGTCATTAGAGTAGCGGGCAATCAGAGCCGGAGAAGAAGCAATAATAACAACATTAATTAGGTGTTTCTTTTTTTTTAACTTAATTCATATGTTAATTGATCATGAACAATTATGGTTGATATGAATAATATTTATATATTAATAAGGAAATGAAAATGTTGAGTATGATTTATATGCATGATTTTTGTGAAATACTTCAATTTGATTTGAAATGATTTTTATTAATAGATAATCAACCAGCTTCTCTTCTGATCAAATCTTAATTAAACTATTTTCTTGCACATAAACTAAGATTATGTTGAATAACAGTGCATGCACTATGTGATTGTTATGAATTTTATTATATTTACTTATCTTTAAATTTACAGTCTTCTA